TTGGGGAATCGCAGACTTGCAGGAACGGATAGTGGAGTCGATTGGCTTTGCGCATGTGCAGTCAAAATATTGCCCCAAAGGTCAGAAACATGGGTTTTTGAGACATTTTCCATTTTTGTTGACACAACGTTTCGACAAGACTTCAAGCTAGAAAGCTGAAACTTGCACAGATCGATAGAGAATTGCAAAGTGCATCGGTATGCAAAGTTTCAAGTCAATCGAAGAATATTTTCATTTCTGGCAACCAAGTAAGTAGAGCTAAGTATTGGACTTGGTAAAAAAAAATGAAAAAAAAGTCAAAGTCGACCGATTTGAACCAAACTTGTTGGGTTGAGATGAGAAGGACAAGAACTATTAACAGTTGAAATTTCAGGTTGATAAGACCATTTCAAGTAGTGAAAAAAGCCAAAAAGATTGCAAAACACAAGCTCAAGGCTAAGAAAAGAGACAAGATTTGGAGTGAGAAAGTTGAAAAAGCATAGCCTGGTGGAGTTGATGAATGCGAAGAAGGCCGTCAAGTTTCATGCTGCTGACTGCCTCGAAAAGTGCTTTTTGGGGTGTTTTTCTTAACAGTAGTTCTAGCACAGGGCAAGGTAAAAGTGACATCCACTATAGATAATGTGGGTTCTAAATCAGGGCAGGTATTATTGACAGTGGTTCTAACAATAAGTCAAAGGTAAAAGTGACAAAAGGCTGCTGTTGACTTGTGCTCAGGCAGAAAAAAGGTGAAAATTGACAGCAGAAAGTTGAAATTTGGCATGGTCCATGGTACCATCCAGACAGACTTGCAAGCCAAATTTCAACAACCTGGTCTCAAAACTGTGTCTTTAGGGCTGAAAAAGAGTTTACATTGAAGAAAGAACAAAGAGGACAAAGAGAAAAAAGAAACAGAAAGAAGAGTAGGAGGACTTTGAAATTTGGCATGCAAGTTGAGAAAATTATTTCGAAGAAATATGAACCGCAGCAATTGGCCTGCAGATTGGCATTGAATGTTCAGATAAGGAAAACAGTTGTATGGGTTCTAGCAATGGGGCAAGGTATTAGAGACATCAATGACACTAGTTCTAACTGTGGGGCAGGTTTTATTGACATGAAACATTGGCCAAAATAACCAAAATTTAGAAATTGAGCAGAAAAAATTGCTCGCATCGAAGAGAAATGCATATTCAGAGTCCAATATGATAGTTTTGGGACTTGTTTTAGGGTTTGGTAGGGATGGCCATATGTCTATTTCTGTGCAAACAAGGTTTAGCTGCCTTTAGAGTCTTCTTTCGGGTTAGGTAGAGGATTTGCATTAGTTGTTTTAGACAAAAAGAAAGAAAAAAAA